GCAGATTGTTGGATCTTCCTTTTTAATCCAGTTTGCCAATCGGTGTCTTTTGATGGGGGAATTTAGTCCATTAACATTCAGTGTTAGATTGATAAGTACGTGGTTATTCCTGTCATGTAGTTGTCTTTGTTGATTACAGGTTTGATAATGTGTGTAGCTGAATCAATGTTACTCTCTACTTTCTTGCCTTTTCTTCTCCTGTGGTTTGGTATTACCTGACCTTTCATGGTTTTGTTTGCTTTCATTTTCTGTGTGCAGAATTCCCTTGAGAATCTTTTGTAGTGGTGGCTTGGTGGTCATATATTGTTTTAGTTTCTGCTTATCCTGGAAGACTTTTATTGCTCCATCTATTTTGAATGATAGTTTTGCTGGTATAGTATCCTAGGGTTGAAGTTATTTTCATTCAGTGCTGGAAGACCTCACTCCATGCCTTCTTGCTTTGAAGGTTTCCATGGAGAAATCTGCTGTGATTTTGATGGGTTTACCTTTGTATGTATTTGTTTTTTTTCTCTTACAGCCTTCAATATCTTTCTCTATTCTCTGTGCTTGTTGTTTTAATAATAATATGTATGGGGTAGTTATATTTTGTCAAGTCTGTTTGGTGTTCTGGAGCTTCTGTACCTGGATGGGCATAGTTTTTCTCTAGATTTGGGAATTTTCTGTTATTATTTTTGCTGAATATATTACATTCCTTTTGCTTGCACTCTTCTCCTTCTTCAATGCCCATATTCTCAGGTTTGGTCTTTTAATGGAGTCAGTGAGTTCTTGCATATTCCTTTCACAGGTCTTGAGTTGTTTGACTATAGTTCTTTGTTTTTCCTTTAATAACCATTTATCTTCAAGTTCTGAGAGTTCTGTCTTCTGTTTGTTCTATTCTGCTGGAATGGCCTTCCATTTTGTTTTGTATTTCTGTTTCATTTTTTTTCTGAGGTTTTCCATGTCATGGTCACTTCCTCTTTAAATGTTGTCAATTTTTCCTTAATTCATTTATCTTTTATTTATGGATTTTCTGTTTCATTTTGTTTTTATTTAGGTTCTTATGATTTCATTTATTTGTTTTTGTGTTTCTCATATTCTTTATTTTTGTCTCTTGGAATTTCTTGAGTGCCTCTTGTATGTTTTGGTTGACCATGTCTAGTAATATCCATGAAATTCTCAGTGATTACTTGCAGGATTTCTTCTTTCAGTGTGTTCTTGTGGGCTTCCTTGGGTTCTTGGCATAGTTTATCTTTGTTTTGTTGGAGTCTGTATCTGGGTATCTGTTTTCTTCATTTCCCTCTGAATCTTGTACTAGTTTATTTTTGGGGGAGAATGGTTTCCATCCTTTTTGTCTTCTCATATTTCCAACTCAGTACTGTTTCTGTCCCTGGACTATAGTGAAACTAACAAAATCAAGGAAGAAGGAGAATATAGTGAAAGAAAGAGAAAGTAGAAGGAAAAAAGAAAAAATTTAAAAGAGAGTACTAAGGAAACAGCAGAGAGAGATGTTGGATGGTCAAAGAGCAAACCAGACAGTTCAAACCTTAAAGGAAGGCATGCAACAACAAAAAAGAAAATCACCTTGTTCAGGGACAGTGGAATTTCAGTCTTAGTAGTTCTGCTGTTACTCCTTTATCATCTAGACCTGTCTGTGTCTCCTAGGCAGGTTTGGAGCCTCCTGTGGTGGGTGGCAGGTGAGTGGGGTTCCACGGGCTGTGGGCAGAGGCCTGTCATTGAGGTGATCTAACAGGTCTTTGGAGCATGGACCTGGAGTGCCTGAATGGTGTGGGCCAGTGGGGTGGAGATTGTGAATGCCTGTGGATCACTGGCTTGACAGGCTTAAGGGCACAGGTCAGTGGAGCGGAGATTGTGCAGGTCTGTGCAGGCCTGAGGGGTGTCCCCAGCAGAGTGGAGATCATGCGTGCCTGTGGATCCCTAGCTTAGCAGGCCTTAGGAGTGCAGTCCGGTGAGATCGTGGGGTCTGAAGGGGTAGGAGTTTTGGGGATCGCAGCCCTGGTGGGGCTGAAGAGTGGGCCCAAGGATCAGAGATCCCAAGGCCAGTGGAGCAGCAGCTCTGCGGGCCAATGGGCAGGGCTTGGTGTGCAGTGCCAGCTATTATTTTAGTAAATTGTGGCATGGAGAAGTTTCCACGAGCTAGGGGTTCAAAATGCTGATGTTTCAGCACTTCCTGGTGCTTTAGCTCAGCCAATTGTGTCTACAGCATCTCTGGAAAGTCCCTGGTTCAGGGAGCTCATGTAATGTGTGGCTGTGTCCAGTTGCTATCTTGGGTCTCTACAGAAAACATTTTTAAGACAAGAAAATGTGAGAGTATAACAGAGTGTAGAAAGAATATTGAGGAATACTGACAGTTTGAATATGTGTTAATGAAAATATGAGCCATGTTAGAGGAATTGGTCACATTTAAAATACTTATAAAATGGATTTGGCAGGACCCAAGTCCCTAAATATATGTGGAAGTGGTGTGTTAGGGAAAGTAGAAATAAGAGGTGTCTGAGGTTTCTGGTTTGATACTGGTTGGCTGGTGATGTCATTAACTAGGGCAAAAAGATAATGCCACATTGCATTCTATTGCACAGTGGAGTGACTATAGTTAGCAATGATGCATTGTATATTCCAAAAGTAAAAAAAGAGGATTTTCAATGTTCTACTTAAAATTTGATAAATATTTTGGGTTGTGGATATGCTAAGTATCCAGATTTGATCATTACACAGCATATACATCTACCAGAACATCATGTTACATCTCATAAATATGGATAATTATGTTCAGTAATAATAAAGTAAAATAATAATAAAATAAAACTGAGGAAAAGATAGTGAATTCAGCTTTAAACTTGTTAAATGTGCTGGTCAGATATTGGAGTTGAGTCGTACACATGTAATTGGAGATAAGAGTTTTAAATACAGGAGAGATTGGGCTGGGAGAGGGTGACATAGGGTTTTCCTATATGAAAAGAGGTAGTTGAAGACACAGGAATCAATATGAGTGAGGTGGTTTAAAGCTGGAGCTAGGTGGAAACCAGAATTTAAAGCTTGGAAGAGGAATATGTGCAAGAGTAATAAGAGGTGAGCTGTGTTGGGTGAATTCCTGCACAGATAGATGTCCAGAAAACTAAAAGGACAGTAAGTGTCAACTTGACCGACCAAATTTGCCTGAGAGGTCAGACAGAGAGTCTGCTGGGTTTGGTAATTAGGAGGTTGTGTTAATCAAAGTTCTCCAGAGAAACCAAGTCCTTGTATACATACACACACATATATATGAGAGATTTCTTTTAAGGAATTAGCTCATGGGATTATGGAGGCTGTCAAATCCAAAATATGCAGTGTGGACAAGCAGGCAGGAGACCATAGTGTTGCAGTGCTAGTCTGAATGGTGTCTTTGGAAGAAGTCCCTGTAGTCAACGGGAACCTTAGTCTTTGCTGTACTTTTTGCCTTCAAGTAACTGGGTGAAGCTGACCCTCATTATGGAGGGCTATCTGCTCTATTTAAAATGCTCTGATTTAAATGAAAATCCCTTCCAAAATATGCTTACAGAAACATCTAGGACAATATTTAACAAAAAATTTGGGCACCATGGCTTAGCCATTTGACAAATTAACTATTACAAAGGTAAAAAATGAGTCATTAAGTCAGAAAACTACTCTGTCTTTAAGCAGGGAGTTGATAGGAAACTGAAATAAATCATTTATTCAGGCCCAATGTTGTAACTTCCACAAGATAATGAATACTGATTGTAACTTTAAAGTTGATAAGATAACTTATCTGATAACCATTCTGGTTATATGACTTCAAATGACTTTGTCTGTAGAACAAAGAATTCTCCCTCAAGACTGTAGCATCAACTCCCATCTGAGTCTCTGACCTGCTGCTTGGTCTTGTGTTTCCTGGACTACATTCCTTACTGATGGTAGTTCCTTAAAGAATATGCCATATATCTATATGTATATATACTCTTGATTCAATGTCCTTATAAAATGCTTAGAATTCACTGAGATTTGGAGGGAATCAAATTGAGAAAGATTTCTGTCATTTTTTCAAACACTTTTTGTCCTCTCCTCATTCCCTGTCTCCAACGACAGGTATTCTAGGCAGTTGATGTTATTCCATTACCTTACTGACCATTTATTCAATTTTTCTAAGTCTTTTTTCTCTGTGTGCCTCAAATTGGATATTTTCTACTGCTGTGTCTTCAAGTTCCATTATATATATATATATATATATATATATATATATATATATATATATATATATATATATATATTTCTTCTGTGGTGTATAATCTGCTATTCATTACATTCAGTGTCTTTTTCATCTCAGAGAATGTACATCTCAGAGAATGTACATATATTTTGCAACCCTAGAAATTAGATTTTGTTCTCTGCTATATCTTCTCAATGTGGTTTCCTCTACTTTTTGAACATATATGTTTCCTAAACTAACTCATAGTACTTCAGATATGTTAGACCAAAAGCAGGCACACATTTTAGAATTTAACTTAATTTCTTAGTGTTTATTTGCATGCCTATTTTATTTATGGCATGTGATGCTGGGATTTCCATCATTGGAGCATGACATAAGGTTTTTCCCCAAAATATATGTATTTTATTGAGGTTGCTCTGGTAATTGTTATTCTCCTTGGTTTCATTAACTTACTGTCCTAAAGACAGATCTTGCAACAAAGATTGAATGTTGTTTATTTGAGACTTATCTAGGATACATTAATGTAGGAGGGGAAATAAGACAGAGATGGAAGGAGAGACAAAGAATAGGTGTGTTGTTGAGAGTTTCCACTGTAGACAACTGAAGGTCAATCCCACTGAAGACCTCCAGGAGGCAGCATAGAGTATGTGTCTTAGAGTTCTCCCCTCAAAATTCAAGGGCAGTGGAGTATTTATCTACAAATTCTTGCGCATTATGTATCTGTGGGCTGTTCCAATTGCATTTGTACCTTGGAATTTCTGGCCTGCTCTATCATGGGGAAAGCAAATTTCAGTGGCCAGCAGAAGCTTTCCAGAAAATGTATAGCCTCCAGGCAAATGTCAATTTCTTAAACTGAGATTCCAGGTTAACATCCAAGCAATGATAAATGTTGAGAATATAATCAGGTACAGCCTGCATCTGCTCCACACTCATCCTCATCTCTTCTCTCCCTTCTAGGTGCTGTGCTCCATCATAGCAGGGGTTTTGCACTACCTCTATCTGGCCGCCTTCATCTGGATGCTCCTCGAAGGGCTACATCTCTTCCTCACTGTCAGGAACCTCAAGGTGGCCAATTACACCAGCACAAGCAGATTCAAGAAGAGACTCATTTATCCTCTAGGCTATGGAACCCCAGCTGTGATTGTTGCTGTGTCTGCAATCATTGGACACAGGAACTATGGAACATATACTCAGTAAGCATGATATGCGTATATGGTATATGGTGGAAATGTATTTCCACAGCACGTATGTGGTATGAAGTCAAAATGATCGTTTTAAAATTCATTTCTAATTGTGACTAATTCTTGAAACTAGTCTTTCTTTAGCTTGAATGTTTATTTCTTCCTGGAAATCTCTAGAGAGATGGTTCTCAATAACTTTAGGGTTGGATCCTATTGAGACTTTTGGGGGAAAACCAGAGTTCTTTTCTCCAGACAAGGGTACATACAGACAGAATTTTGAATATGCTTTTACAAAAGGCAGGCAAAGTAAATACATGGCTCCCGCATTAAGAACTGTGGGCTCCATGTTCTGTAAGATTGTCAAAGATTAGGTGGAATGGGTGGAGATTAATCTCAAAAATAAAAAGCATAACAATAGTACAACTGTCCATGGCATTTTCACCATGACCCCATGTAGGCCCCAGTTTCTTATCTCATGCTCATCACATGTAGGGCTAAGTGTCTTTAATACATACTTAGAGAGTAATTCTGAATTTCCAAAGCAGTTTTTTCTTAATAGTTATTTTTTGCTCCCTTGCTTGAGAAGTTTACAAAGCTATGCACTGAACACTTAGTTGAAGAAGTTACCATTTTGGTAGTGCTGCTTGGGTTAGGAGGTTGGTTGTGTATGTGCTAAAATATCATATATGATGTTGCCTTCCTGAGGTCAGAGAAATACCAATCTCTAGCATGAACCTTATATCCTGCCATTTTTTCACTAAATGACTCTTGACACTGTTTAGAGCTTGCCCCAGGAGCCTGTAGTCAAACTATTTTCCTTCTTTGGAGGAGAGGCAGCTAATGCTTATCTTCCTCTCCACAGCTGCTGGCTCAACCTTGATAAAGGATTCATCTGGAGCTTCATGGGGCCTGTGGTAGTCGTTATCTTGGTAAGTGGTAGTTATTCATGGGTGTGCCTGCTCTCTGCTGACCAACCATAGAGAGTGTGTTTCTTATCTGTTAAAGTGGAAATGAGATGAAGATAAAGAAATACAGTTCGGTGTGACTGAAAATACATCTTCACTTAGCTTTCCCTGTCTTTTTATAGCTCACTAGTCATTTGGATAAATATGACTCTGCTGTGAATTGTTTTGTAGATCTGGGAATCAAACCTAGGGCTTAACATGTGCTAAGCAAGTGCTCTACCACTGAAGTACATTCCCAGCCCTTGATTTGGGTTAAAAGTACTGCCTTTATTCACTCAGTAAATAATCATCTACTCTGCATAGGGTAATATGCTTTCCAGAAACTTCCTGATTACACATAATATATATAGATAATAATAGGAGACTTCTATTTTCAAAGTGTCCTGGTTTGCATGATAAATTATATATCTACCTAGCTAAGAACCAAGTGTTACAGGGAATATGTTGTGCACTATACATAATAAACCAGACCATGTCACTGGTGTCCTTATGAAGTGTGCCTCTTTGGGGGAAAGATTCTCAGGTCCAACTCAAGTTGGTTTGTATGAAAGGACCTCAAAAGACAATGATGTCATTTGTTCATGCTGTTTCCATCCACAGATAAATTTGGGTTTCTATTTCCAAATTCTGTGGATCTTGAGAGGCAAAATTTCCTCCCTCAATAAGAAGTTTCTACCATTCAAGATACCAGGTAAGAGGGTATCAGCATCTGGGATACCCATGGATTGATCCTGTAGGACTACTCTTCCTAGAAAAGAAATGTCTATTAAATATGGTATCCAGTTGGGGTATCACTCAGAAGTAGAGCACTTTGCTAGCATGTGTGAGATGTGGTTCAATCCCAGCACAGTAAAAATATATAAATTATTCTGAGACTAGATAAGGGGGAACATCTCACAGCAAATTAAAAATTCTGATTTTCAGGTAACAATGAAAACAACTAATGTTTGGTAGGAACAGGGAATTTTCCAATATCATTTTATGAAATGCTCATAACTACCACCTATGGGGATAGATATTATTATCCCATTGATAATAGGAACCAAATAACTGTTCATCTTACCTCAGAGTGGGCAAGCATCTTGCATTGGTTAAGTATGGATTAAACTTAAAGGAATATCTGCTCAACTTCTCACCCCATCTTTGGATCTTATCTACTTACTTGTCAGACCATTCTAACATCTCTTGCCTCAGTTGCCTTAACCCTCAAGGACCACAGTGTCAGTCTTCTGTATTTTTTCCCCATCCTATCGTGTATATGTCTAAGTGAAGGTTCATGAACACACACACACACAACACACACACACACACACACAACATACATGCATCATATCATGGAGACAGTCACCATCACCAACTCCACTCCATTATACCAAATACAATTTCTATTTGAGGAAATCCAACACTATGTTATATTCTGAAGTCCACAATTTTCAACAGAAATTTCTAGAAGATTTTCCAAGTAAATCTTCTTCAAGAGTGGTAGGAAGCATTATTCTCAGCAGCAGATTGAAAACATAGATTCTACCTTCAAGCTGTATGGCTTTGCATGTTACTTAACTGCACCAGGTTGCTGTGAGGCTTAAATAACATAATGCATGCAAAGCATTTAGTTTTCACCAAAGCTAACTGAACATACAGTGAAAACCTTCAATATTAATATTGCTCTTTTTTTCTCCTAGAGTCATGACATTTAAAGCTATTTCTCAGCTGTTTGTCCTGGGCTGTTCTTGGAGTATTGGCTTTTTTCATGGTTGAAGAAGTAGGGAAGACAGTTGGGTCAGTCACTGCCTACTTATTCACCATCATCAATGTGCTGCAGGGGGTGTTGCTTTTCGTGGTGCACTGTCTGCTTAATCGCCAGGTAAGGCTAACCATTTCATTTCTCACCAACCTAGCCCCCAGAGTTTTAGAACTCACATTCTTGCTCTTCCTTCTCCCTTTCTATCTGTATTTTCAGGCTTTCTTCTATTTGAGAGGAAGGTTTAGGGGCCACTTAGGCATGCTTGTCCTCTGTATTTCATCCATTCAGCATCCTAACATCCCTTAAGACCATGTGTCAGTCAGGACAAGGCAGGTTTTGCTGTATTTGGCACGTATAATGTCCTCATTGAGGGAGGGGTATAATTATAATTTTACTCTTGTGGAAAATTGAACAGCCTGTCTGGCTTTTTCATTTGCTATAGAGAAGAACTGGCAGCAGTTAAGATTCTAGTTTCAAACAGATAATCTAAACATTTCATCAACTCTGCTCCATTTTTCAGTACTTTCCTTATGCTTGGTATTCCATCCTTAAAGAAATGAAATAAACTTAAGTATCTTGGTGAAATAGTGCCTCACACCTAGCCAGTGTTCAATAAATGACCTCCATTATCAAAAACCATATCCATCATCCTCACCGCAGTCACTTTTATCATAGTCATCATCATCTTCATCACCACCATCGCTATCATCATCACCATATATCATGTACTACAGCCAAAATGATACAGAAAATTAATTAAAGAGTGGTAGGGAGTAGGACTTGGCATATATATCTTTTGTCTCCTGTTTTAGGATCGTTTCCCTGGAAGCAAGCTATAGGCATGACACAAATTTCTGTATATCTCAAACTTGCAGGTGCGAATGCAATATAAGAAGTGGTTTAGGGGGATGCGAACAGGGGTTGAAACTGAAAGTACTGAGATGTCTCGCTCTACCACCCACCCAAAATGGTAAGAGAAGTCCCTTGGAATGCTTTATCTGAATCCAGCATCTCATGCTACCAGGGTTTTCCTGGCTGCTCCATCTGAAAAACAAGAGAAATGGCTAAGGTTCCTGCACTAGGAAACTGACATGTCTACTTTTTGATTTCCCTAACTCCCCTTCCTTCCTTCCTTCCTTCCTTCCTTCCTTCTTCCTTCCTTCCTTCCTTCCTTCCTTCCTTCCTTCCTTCCTTTCTTTCTTCCTTCCTTCCTTCTTTCCCTCCATCTTTCTTCCCTCTCCCCCTCACCTTTTCTCAGTATTAAGGTTTGAAACTCAGGACCTTGCGCTAATGCTTGAGCCATGTCTCCAGCCTTGTTTTATTTTACCAAATAGGGTCCCACAGTTATCCCAGGGGGCCTGGACCCGGATCCTCCTGATCTCTGCATCCTGAGTAGCTGAGATTACAGTGTGAGCCACTATGCCTAACCCTGTTTTCTGTTTCTCCCCCTCTTCCTCCTCCTCTTCCTCCTCCTCCTCCTCTTCCTCTTCTTCTACTTCTTCTTTTTCTCCTCCCTCCTTTTATAGTCAGTATAAGGAAATAACTCAGGTAAAAATCAAGCTTCAACAATTCTTTGATCTAAGGTAAAAGGAATGAGGTCTGGTGGGCTAATTTTCCTAAGGCTTATAGAAGCTTAATTACAACACATCTGTTCTGGAAATTGTCAAGGCATACAGCACACCTTATCTAAGGTACTGATTAATCTGGCATTAGGGAGTCTCCAAACAGTTCTGGGTACTTTATCTTGTTTTTGCATCAGGGAGCTGGTATGTAGACACAACAGGTTGTTTTCTTCAAGGGAGATGCAGGAACAAAGGTCAAGACACCAGGTGCTGGGAAGAATGAGAGTAGGAGAGCTCTGCAAGCTCCTACCATGGAGAAACTTTGTAAACTCCATCATTTCAAGTCCAATGTCCAAGCCTGGTCTCCAACATCTCCCCCTACTCTATTTCTTAAAAGCTCCCGATGCATTTCTATGTCTAATCCGTGGAGTTGCCTTTCGATCTTTCGAGCTCTGACTGAAAGTAAGCAGAAACAACATCATTAATAATACAATGCCAATGAAATACCAAAAGGAAATATTTTAGAGTATTAAAAGGGTTAAATCCTTGTAATTCATCTAATATAATTTTTGCTATATCTGCAGGAGCGATCACTTGATCGTGTGTCTCACTGCATGGCTAAAATTTGCTGTCTTAAGGCTTGTAAGTTAAGGGAGTCATTGTTATTTTCCTAGGCTCCCATGACATGTGCTTTAATGAGTTTCCATGGGAAGTCTGTGGCATTGTAGGTGCTGCAATGACACAAATGTGTTGGAAGCCTGCATGGCATGGTAAATTTTGATGGAATTTCTGCATTTGAGCTTCATCTCCCATAGCCAGCAAAGCAGCTTCTAGAGAATTTAAGTGGATATCAATTTTTTCATCTACATCAACTTGTTTTTGGAAGGCATAACTGACATTTTGTGTTAAGGTATTAATGTAATGAGCATTTGAGTGCTTTGGGAGAGGGCTACTGCAGCAGTAGCCATGGTGGCAATAGCAGTGATAACTGCTATAATGCCTGCTATCATGAGTCCTACAAATCTCTTTTCTCTTATGAATAATGATTTTATTTCTTTGACAACCTGTAGTCCTCTATCATGATACCATGGTCCCGTGAAATCTGTAGGTACCAAGATATAGGAGCTTTGTTTTTTACTATAAGTAGGCTGCCATTTATGTAATTGTCCACACATGAGTTAAATTACAATTAGAACAAGAGATATTCAAAAATAGTTCCGTTCTTAGAGATGTTAATTGATCCAGCCAATAAAGCAAAGGATGTTGAACACAAGCTTGTAATCCTTTAACAACAGAGCTGCCTGAATGGCTAGTTAGATTGATATTAGCAGTAGCAGCTCCAAGCTTCCATATATCTGACTGAATGGTTCTTCCATCTAGTCCTACCAGAGGGGTGGTCAAATACCCCATAATATTAGTGTCAGAAGTGCCATTGTAAGACCAATACACAAGCTTAAAGCCTGTAACATAAACAGCCATTGGAGAAGCAAATATACATTGCTCCCATGTGGCTCCCTTATGTGGGTGCCGGGGATTGCGTTTGTCATGACAGTGGGGAATGTGAGGCCAATGTGTAGCATTATATGGCTCAGTGGCATTAAAGCCAAAAAGTTCTAGTTTTTTATCAAAGAAACTGAGTACCATTCCATAACAGAGCACTTTTCCAAATAGGATGAGAGGGAGACAATAAGGCAAGTTTCCCAAACATATAGGTAAAGCAACAGCTTGTCCTGTAAAATTATAATTAGTGAAAGTAGGAACCAGGTGTCCACTGGAGTGACCGCCTACCAGCTCAGAGTCATTAGTAAAAACTGATATAGAAGGACTTTTCCAGGTAACTGCATGAAGCAGAGGTGGATGAGGCACAAAAGCCCAATGTACTAAGGTCTGGGCTTCTGCAGCATTTACCTGTTGTCTAATGATGCTAATCATAGCTAGCAGAAGAACAGCAAGAGTGTCTTCCTGTCCCCCACCCTTAATGGCATTCTTGGCCATATCTGCCAAGCATTTTATTTGATCCAAGCTAGGGGAGTAGATCCCGAGGTTGTTTTACTGCGTTTGTTAAGGTGATGAAGTTGCCTTTTGTAGGACTGGTGAGGGTGGTTCCTTATCACTTTCAGTGACAGGATCTCCATCAGTTTTGGTTTTTGGCAGGCTTAGGCTCCTCTCCTCCTCCATCAGGTGGAGCTTCTGCATCTGATGGCTGATGGGTTCCATGGGTCTTCACGAACCACAAGATACCCAAATTGGGCTTTCTGTACTTCAGGAAACAAACACAAGCATTGGCCTCCGCCCCATAACAAGACCGGGCTGGGGACTTGCCAGGCCCTGGTAATTACATCTTTCCACAATACCTGTGGCAAATGTTGTTTATTACAATGTTCCAATGTTTTTCCACTGGAATAAAGCCAGATTCAGAGCAATTAAAAAATTTAAAGTAAAAAGAGCTTTATTAATTTGAGTGGCCAGGGAGATATCTCCCCTTCTTATCTTTCTAACTGAACTTTAAAGTTTAGTGAGCTTGTTCTACTATAGTTTGGCCTTGGGGATTGTAGGGTATGCCTGTGGTATGAAGAATTTTGTACGGAGGAACAAAAAGCCTTGTAGGCAGTAGATGTATAGGTTGGGCCATTATCAGTTTTAATATGGAGTGACTTGCCCAATCACTGCAAAGGTGGCCAAACAGTGATCTATGACATAGGATGTTACTTCCCCTGATCTTGGAGAGGCAAAAACAAAACCAGAGTAAGTATAAATAAAAACATGGACATAACGCTGTTGTCCAAAAGATGAATGTGAGTAACATCCATCTGCCATATTGAGAGGGCAAAGACCACAAGGGTTAACTTGCTCACTGGGCACAGGCAAATGAGAGCACAACTTAAACATGATTTAATAATCTGACGAGCTTCTTCTTCAGGTGATATGAAAATGTTTATGAAGAGCTCTGGAGTTTTGGTGGAACTGTGAATGACTTTGTATGACCTGTTTACTGGTGATGAGGTATCTACCTGTAAAATTAATGGAGAAAACCAGCATTGACCTGGCAATTGCCCTCTGCCAATGACCCAGGAAGGCCAGAATGGGATCAGAGATGGCTCACAAAATAGGGATGTTGGTGTTGTTGTAATAAAGCCTTAACTCATGAAGAGATGAAAAAGTTGTTCATCATTGGTGTTCTATATAAGCAGTTTTCAATAAGTCTTAAGTACACCAACAAACATATGCACTATCTGTATACAAATTAAAAGAACATGAGCAAAGTCCTGACAAGCCAGTATAACTGCCTGAAGCTCAGCACACTGAGCTGGAAAAACCTGTTTGTACAACCTTTTGTCCCTGAGAGGAAAAGTAAGCAGCATTTCCAGAACCTGAAGCATCAGTAAAAATCACAAGAGCCTGAGGCATGGATCATTTCAGATATTGTGAGGAAATGTAAAAACATGTTGAGAAGCAAAATTAAGAAGTTTAGAGGAAGGCAAATGTTCTCCAAGCTGTCCTGTAAAGTTTGCTAATGCGTTTTGCCAGATGGTGTCAGTACGCCATAACCAAACTTGTTGTTCCTTGGTAAATGGGACAATAATAAGAGATGGTTCTAGCCCTAGAATTTATATGGCTATTAATTTTGTTACCATAATTATGGTAAGGAGTGATGACTCTAGCAGGGGAGGTGAGGTAAATCTAGTACTCCCTGAGATTGCCAAAGAACTCCTGTGGATAGACTTATAGTAGGTAAAATAAGAAGTTTATTGGTTGAGAATAATCAAATGAGTTCTCTGAGAGTTATGAATAGCTTATTCAACCTTAGCCAGGGCCATAACGACCGTTTGGTGTAAGATATCTAGGAGGATGGTTAAGTGTCTCCCTGTAAAATTTTAAATAGAGGAGAGAGTTCATGGGTGGTAAGTTTTAAGGTAGGATGTAGCCAATTTGTATCACCTAACAATTTTTGGAAAATCATTTAAAGTTTTTAACTTATCTTTGTGGATTTCTATTTTTTGGGGGCAGATAGTACATCTCTCAATAAGTGGCCCAAATATTAAAAGGGAGATTATTTTGTACCTTATCTGGAGCTACAATAAGGCCCATTTGGACAAACTAAAAAATAACAAAAGAAGTTTAGAAGAAGTGGGCTTGCCCTGGCATCCATTTTAGTTCTGTCTGGACTATTGATGATTTCCTGACAACTTAAAAATGCTGCGGAATGTCAACAGACAACAGTTAAAGGTTTTGAAAAAGCCAACAAAAATAAATATTTAGAAGCAAACTCGATTAAAATAGGTACTAGGTAATTGCAAATGCTCTGAAAAAGTAGTAGACTGAGAATGAAAATACTTCAAATAGCCATGGTTAGAAAACTGAAAAGTAGTTTGGGAATTGTCAGACATTTAGTTATTCCCATTGCAGA